CGATTACCCAAAGTTGCATTTCTCGATCACAACGCTTTGGAACAAACGCTTTCAAAAAGAAATTCCAAAAAAAAAAAAAAAAAAAAAAAACCCGACCGAATCTCCATTTAGAAATCTGGATTCTTAATGTGGATTCAATTTTCACGGATTTTAAATACGCCAGCAATCCCGCATACATATCCAGAGATGTTGATCGGGACCATCCATGGATACAGAATATACATCAATGGGATTTTTTGGGTATAAGCAAATACAAGTACAGCTCATTACCTGATATATTGCCCATCGATTTTAACTGGTGCCAAAAAACAATACTATCATTATTATTGCTGGCTTTGGGACTTAGGTATGGATGGAGCAAGGAACGTGAAGAAACTGCCGACAGATCATGCATTCTGTGGCGATCTCCTCTCCAATCTCCAATTTATATTCAGCTATCAAACAGAGAGCTCAAGTGATCAAATTTAGCAGCAGCTGTCATCTGAGAAAGATCATGTGCTCATTCACAAAGAATTGATTTCATGTACGGAGTATGTTTTAATGTCCACAGGACCAGCAGCTTTCCAAAACTGGCTTCAGAAAGCTGTATCCCCCCTCGATCTCATCACATATACTGATGGCTCCAAAGACAGCCAAGGAGTTTCAGGCGGAGGCTACTGTCTATACCGAGGAACAAATCAATCTCTGGAGCTTGGTAAGCTGCCTCTGGGCCGCACCGCCGAGGTCTTTGATGCCGAAGTGCTTGCAGCAGTTGCCGGTCTCGAGGCAGCGCTACGGAACCCCTTCTCTATGTTCGCACGGCACATTATAGTGGCTCTAGACAATGAAGAGGCTGCAATAAGACTCCACACAGACACGCCCACACAAACATCTTTTCTCGCCTTTGCTAAGTTCAACGAACTCCGCAGGTCCTGGACAAAACAGGGCCCAGGTCCAGCCGGCCCGAGACGGGTCTATGTTCGATGGTGCCCCGGCCACGCTGGGATTCCAGGCAATGATGCCGCAGATGCTGCGGCCAAGTCAGCCTGCACAATGGAATGCACTCGCCGCACTCTGACCCTGGCGCGGGCCAAATCCTATGCTAAAGAACGCTTCAATGCCTCACTGCAACAATACTGGAGCTCCAATAGCACATCACGATACAAGGACCTCAATATCCCAATGCCAAAAGGACCCTCCCCTGAGCTCACTCTCCCCCGAAGGAACCTAGGCCACTTGCTGGCAGCTAGAACAGGCCACGGTGACTTTGCAGCCTATCATCACAGATGGGCACATGACGACGCACTCCTCACCTGCTCTTGCGGCCGAGATAAGACCCCCGAGCACTTCTTCTTTTGCTGGAAAGGCCGGAACATTGAACGAATTAAAACCCCTGAAGCATGCCGAGGACCAAAGGAAGCAATTGACTGGCTTCTCAGCACAGTAAGAGGAGCTACGACCTTCTCTACCTGGTGCACTAATACCCGCTTCTTCATCGACATCCAACGCCGCTACTAGAACCTGTTCAACATCCGACTTCTCCCTCCCCCTCTCTCTTTCCTATGCTCCTTATATACATTTCTCATCACCCCTACACACCACCCTAGAAGCCCTTGGCTTCCTCAGTCCCGTAATCTTCGGCTACTACGCCATTCAGAACCTCCAGGACGGGGGCTACTCTGTACATAGACTCTCAAGAGGGCTTCGGCCGACTAGACATGTCAGGCAGCAGACTAGCTGCTGCGCTGGCACGCCTGATACCCTTAGGGAGGTGCTGTGGCCGCGACGGCAGACTATTCTTAGTCAGCTGATCACGTGCCTCCAGGCGTTAAATAAGTAATAATAATAATAATAATAATGTTTTAATGTCCATGTACGGGAACATTTTTGTGGATCCAGGACTATTTGAAACAGCCCCCCTGGTTCATCAGAATCACTACCCAATTGTCGATTCAAAACCCTTCCAGGTTCTTAACTAGGGTAAAACAGGCCCTAACTAACTGGTCGCTCTCTCGAATCACTAAATTTTATTATCGTGGTTTTAAGGCGAAAAGATTCCAAAGAACAGAACCTCAGCCCAATTGGATCAATTAGCTTCCACCCTGACAGTTTCCAGTGTGAACTGAGAACTGCGATGACGACACCATCCTCCGCACTCCCTTTCTGGATGGGGAAGCGGATACTATCATTCTAAAGTTATTATTTGACTGGGGTCTTCTGGAGAATATCGACTGGCAAATTAGGGGGTTCATATTCAGGACAACGCCACCCTCTGCTTGGTCAACAACATTAGCTGACGGAGAAATAGTTAATCTTTCCCTCAGTATATAGACGTGAAGGAAATCGGCGCACAGCCTGCGTTATCCATTGACTCTTATGAATCTTGTCGTTTTTTTGATTTATGATGGAGAAGCCCAACTGCTAAGCAAAGTTTGGTGATGCCTACACAAACAACCGCTCTAGTTAACTCCAATTTCACCGAGGAAACAATCGTTCCATGTCTTCGTGTGTGGTGTGGTTGAAATCGATTTTTCGCAAAGTCCAGTTTTGCTTTATTCCCATGAAGGATTGATTGAGTTTACTCCATATAGTCCATTATTTATGAGACTTGATCAGATACCCAGCTTTTGCCATTCCTTTTCCATTTAAGAATTTTTTACGGTTCGGCCCCAATGGGACGATACATCCGGGGATGCCATCCATATCTTGTCACAAACCAGGGGCAGGGAATTGTGTAAGTGCGGGCTTTCCTTCTAATCATGATCTGAGAAGAAAGAAAGCTGCTATGTATAAAAGAGGAAAAGGTTGAGTACACAAAATAATTAGAGAAAGGGTGATATGTTGTTAATAATTTGTGTCACAGAAATTAATATTATTAATAACGGCCCATCATTGTGAGAATATTCCATTGATAACGGTAGGGTGCGATAAACCCTTTTGCGCTACCGTGGCTTTGTTTCGGCCAATGGGCAACAAATCTCATCAAGATACATGGGCTTACACTGGTGTGTTATTATTATTGGATACGGAATCATCCCAGGGTCAATTCCACAGTGAGATTTGCTTTTTCTCATCAAAACGGCTCTATCCAGATTGTCGGTAACTATACGATGCCTGACGCTTATGACTCTGTGGCAATGATAGTTAGGCGCCGCAAAACTTCCAAGAGTCACCTGCCCCAAGCTTGTTCGCGCAAGTCCCTTATTTTCCAGGCTCTTCAACACTTTGTCGTTCTCGAGTCACTGGCTCGGGTTTCTTTCTTTCTTTCTTTCTTTCTTTCTTTCTTTTACCTTTTCTTTGTTTTATTTTATTTATTTGATTATTTATATTTTTTGCCTTATTATGCCACCCCAGCGTTCTTTCAACCTGTCATCGTGATTTCCTGGATCATTTCTGGAGTGTACCCAATGGTGTGCAAGTTCTGCTGCGAACCATTATGCTTGTTTCTGTCTAATGATCAGCATAGTACTTAGTCCACTGTCCAGCCCATGAAAGTGCACGAATGACTACCCAAATGCCAAATAATGCTGATGACGGTGTGGACACCACAGTATCCGACTGGAGTGGTCCTGACTTCATATAGCTTCGGGTTTGTGATATTGACAAGCTGTTTGCCTTGCCAGATGATCTTGCCTGTTTGCCAACCGCGGCCTTGAACGAGTTGCTAATTCAGATATCGAAGGGCCTTCTAGACACACTCCGGAGTCCGTACGCGTGATTGAATAAGTACGAAATAATGGAAACCGGCGAAATAATAGTTCGCACAACGTAACTTAATTATCTGTCCGAGGGTGTGATAATATTTTAAAATACCATCTCCTTGCCTTACGCCTCATATAGCGTGTATTTAGATGCTCCCAAGTCCTTGCCCACCTGTCACTTCTCATGTTCCCCAATATTTGGGCTTGGTCCCACGGATCTACTGGATTCAAGGAATTTTAATTTAGGTCCATCTTGGGGAGAGATGGGCTGCTGAGGTATCCACTTTGGTTTGCTACTAATTAATTAATGGATTAGAAGGATTTGAAAGGGGCTAAGTTTGAGTTATGGTTCCAACCCTGCCCGATATGCCAATGTCAAACCCACCTCAATAAGGCAAAATCCGTCCTCTCATCCTGTCATGGGAATGGTTGGGACCATCTCCAACGGGTGCCTGAAACCCCCAGCTATTCTAGTACGGCACTTTCGTACTGGGATCTCATTACCCTCTCCCTATGACGCAGCCCTTCTTGTTCCATCAGCACTCGAAGATATGAATTTTTTTTATAAAAAAAATATCGTCCTTCCACCGCCCTTTTCCCCCCACCCCACCCCCCCACATGTTTAGTTTTACTGCGCCTTTTAGATACCTCTAATATCGGCTTTATTTGTTATTGTCTGGGACGATTTTATTCCATGTTGCCCTGTCCCGATCGTCTGGGAAGCTTTAAAAGAATGCTATGCATCACTTCCGTTATCTTTCAGGGTTGCCTCCCGACTTAATGGGAGCCAACTTTTTTCCCCACATCTTCTTTCTTCTTTGTTTCTTCAAAGATCGGATTATTTCCTGATTATTTTTTCTGTTTCCATATCCATTCAGACTTGCAGGCATATATCTTATTCTTTCAGCTCAGCTTTTACTCTCTCATAAAGAATCTATCACACGGACGCTTCCAGCTCTAGCTTCAAGAAGTTCAATTTTGGGCAACTTTCTTCTCATATCTATTTTATCCACTTGTTACCCGGCCTCTTTCTCGAGAACTGAGCAACATAGTTCACAACTATAGCCCAAATTAGCACCGGTGATTGGTGCCCATGCCCATGCCCAAGATTAAGTAACGGTGGCAGCTCAGGGCTTTGGGAACTGAGAAAGGTCCACCACACCTAGTCCGCAGAAGCTAGCTCCCTGCTTTTCTGGCATTCTACCCATCATTTCTCTGTCAATCCGCAACTGGGAGACACATCTACAATAACAAAATTTCATTTCTCGTCATATATCCATCAAAATTAAAGTCTTTCTTCCCGTTCGAGGAAGTGACGAGATGCGGAGATACTTGCACTCAGTCTTTAAAAGAGGCACTACTGCGAAAGGTGGAGATGGCCAGTTTCCATCACAGCAACTCTTCGTGCTAGGTACGTGTGAAGTTGCAACCTTTCCGTCTTTTACTTCGCTCGATGTCATGGTAGTCTTCCTTGCTCGGAAGATATTTATTTGTGCTAACTCTGTATGCAGCACTGTGTCGAATATGTGAGCCTATTGCTTTCATGTCGGTGTTCCCTTACGTTTATTACATGGTTGCTTCGTTCAAGGTCACCGACGATGATCGCAAGATTGCTTTGTATGCTGGCGCAGTAACTTCAGCCTTTACCTTTGCTGAATTCTCAACTGGTGTTTTCTGGGGCCGAATGAGTGACAATTTCGGTAGAAAGCCTGTCTTGATCTTCGGCCTGGTTGGAACCGCCATTAGCATGGTCGCATTTGGATTTTCACCGAATCTCCCAGCTGCCCTAATTGCTCGTGCTCTCGGAGGCCTTCTCAACGGTAATATAGGCGTCCTACAAACGACGGTTGCGGAGCTTGTCACAGATAAGAAACATCAACCACGAGCTTACTCCATCATGCCTTTTGTTTGGTGTCTTGGGTCGATTGTTGGACCGATAATGGGTGGAGCTTTGGCCCAACCGTGCGATCATTACCCACAGTTCTTTCTCCGTAATACGGTATTTGACCGGTATCCGTTTCTGCTTCCTAACTTGGTGTGCGTTGTTATTCTATGCTTTGGAATTACCATTGGTATTCTATTCTTGCAAGAAACCCATTCGGAGAAGAAGTTCAACCGCGACAGAGGTATTGAGCTAGGGAGCTGGCTTCTTCATTTATTCTGCGATAGACTAGCCCCAACTAAATTAACCGAAGAGACATATAAATCTCCAATTCAGTACGATGAAATCCAGTTTCTAGACAACCAACCACCTCCACCTGGAGATCGAAACACGGAACACTCTCCTCCCTTGTCCTCCGGTATAGTCCCACCGGTGCCTACCCGAGAAAATTGTAATCTCAGCCAGTCATCAAAACAGAGCCATTGTTTTTCTAAAGCATTTACGCCAAAGATTGTTTTTATCATCTTGAGTTATGGGATACTCGCCTAGTAAGTTTGTTATTATTCTGGCTTGAAGGCATAATGCGGACGACATTCTAACCATTTAATAGCCATAGTGTCTCATTTGATCAGCTAATGCCAATTTTCTTGAGCACACCAGTCTCAGACGTCAAAGCTGAGCCTCCTTTCAAATTTACCGGGGGGATGGCTCTGTCAACAAAGAAAATTGGCTTCATGCTTGCAGTTCAAGGAATTTATTCAATGGTGGCACAACTTTGGTTTTTCCCCTATGTTGTAAGCCATTTCGGACCCCTCTCGGCCTACCGTATTGTCCTCTGCATATGGCCGGCTCTCTATTTGGTTGTTCCATACCTGGTATTGCTTTCTAGCTCCCTTCAGATATCCGCCGTTTATGCGGCATTGGTTGCCAAGATAACGCTGCATGTTATTGCCTTTCCTTCACTGAACATCTTACTCGCTAACTCCGCCTCCTCTACAATGGTGCTGGGTTCGATCAATGGCGTTGCAGCCTCCACTGCAAGTCTAAGCCGTGCTTTTGGGCCGACTGTGACAGGCTACCTACATTCCAAGGGACTTGCATGGGGATACTCGGGCCTCGCTTGGTGGGCTTGCGGCATCGTTAGTTTATTAGGAGCCGTTGAAAGCTTTTGGATCGAGGAGGACGACCAAAAAGAGGTCATTGGTTCGGAAAAGACCTGCATAGCTGAGTGCGAAGAAGGTTGCTATGACGAACAACATGGATTCCTCCGAAGAGATAGTTCTGAGGAACAGTTAACATCTCTTCTCTCTCAATCCCCCCCGACAACGCCAACCAACCAGGGAACACATAATACCCGCACAATCGAACTTTGATGATATCGTGGATCTCATTCTCGACTATAACGCTTTATCACCACGCTTTAGAGGGGCAAATATTTAACTTTTTTCTCTCTTTTCTTCCTAATTTATTTTAAAGACTGGTTCACGGCTAGGAAAACGGTTTCCTGTTTTTATGTTATTTCTTTTAATAAACGCACAATCTACTCTCTTACCCATCCGACGAACGGATACCTTAACCCTGTATGCTCTTGTTATGTGCGGTTTGTTTATTTTTCCTTCCTACAAACCCTCCGTCTGTTCATCAAATTTTCTTGGATTCCGGGCGATTTTTTCACGCATACATTTTCCCTAGGGCTGTTGGCGTTTTCAATTAGAGATCCACGCAAGTGGGCGGAATATGCAATTTCTTTTCTTTTTCTTTTGGTAACCATGGCTTCTTTCTGTGTTGTTATTTTATTTTATCTTATTTTTGTCGTCGCTAGTCATCTAGTTTTGACCCTCTGATTTCTTAAAATACCCGTTTCCTGTTGGTTATATTAGGTCTCTTTTATTACCCTCTGTTTATTTCATTGCACTTTCTGATTTCCGTTAACTTTCAGGTCTTCGACCACTGTTGTTTTATTTCCATTACAATCAGTGGACATTTCGGGCAGGGCATAGAACAGACATAAGCATGGATTTTCAGGGTGTGGTGGGTCAATTTACCACATCGGAATTTTAAAGGATGATAGTTAGTTATTGGTCATAGCTAAGTTCTCCCTTTACGATGTGGCATTGCATGGCATGTTCAACATTCCACCACCGGTTATACGGCTTTCATTGTGTCCCTTTGGCATTTCATCCTCCATTAAAATCTCTTTGCCTTTTTTATCTCACCATTGCAGGGCATATACAAGACGATAACTGACGTAATACTTCACCCCTCCGCTACATGGAATTTGGAGCGCCGGATAACACCTGACAGCCGTAGTTATCTATCAGGCCGCATCCATTTCTGCCCAGTCCACAGCAATTAGCCCATCTAACATCGAGTTGCTCATGTGGCTATTCCACATGTAGCTATCCACAAAATTAAGGAGAATAGTTAGGCAAGGTTGCAGAAGAGGGTAAAGTTTCTAAGCCATGCACAAACGAATGCCCCTCCCAACATGCATCGCACGTACCAGTTTCTTTCATTAACAATACTATAACACCTAGTTATTGAAATACCTATTCTTTCGGAAATCGTTGGGGAACTTCTGGCACGGGAGAACAGTGGGAGGAAAATACGGAGGAGAAGATGGAGAGTAATGAGGACAAAGGATTCAGAAGAACTGGGTTGCCTTATGTCTTCCGATTAGGAAGAGATGCAGAGCATATTAAGCCTCATCTTCTCCATATTCTGAGAGTTGCCTTCTTTAATTTTTCCTTAAGCCATCCCTCTCAGTATTGCCCCACCTCTCTCTAGGGTAGGAAGATGGTGTCTGCATCTATGCATATCTTCGGGCATGTTGGGTATGAGCCTGAGCACAGGTTTCATTAAGCCTCTTTTCTTTCTTTCCCCCCTTTCTCCCTCTGTTCTCCTATCAGCTGTTGTTGTTTATTAGATATGGATACCTACAACTTAGGTGAGGGGACTGCGGAACCTGAATAAATAAATCACTAGTTACTGGTTAAAACAGCTCCTCCACCGCTATGAAAAGAAGTTCAGGTCAGCTGGATTTTCTCTGCACGTCATGTCTATGCGGGGCTTCTATAATGACGCATGTTTGCATGATATTGCACCTGAATATTTCATTGATCCGGGATGAGTTGTGTGAAGGTTTCTTGGAGGCTAACCCTAGTTTGTCCCTCTGGGGCGAGGTTGAAAGCTGCAGAAGTTTGGAAAAGCACAATTGGCATCATAAAGAACCTCTCATGCTGCTTGGATATCCCCCAGTCAGTTATCTGTTTTATCCCATATACCCGTGACAAAGGGGCCCTAATATCCTCCAAGACCGTTCCCAAGTCGATTCTGTGTGCCCCACACCCGAAGTGCAAGCAAAATTGCTCGGGAGTGCAGACAGCCACCACAGTCAACAGCACATGTCAAGAGAAGGATTTCCGACCAATACCCCCACGTGTGCGGAACGAGCAGATTCCCATGAAAAATCAGTAAGCCTTGATGCTGGAAGAGGGCACAGAGAACAGGCATCACAATGATGCGGGCTGTGATGATGATCCCCCTTCACGTCTCTTCTATGATGAGGAGTCCCCCGTATCAATATGCGACCTGCTATCATCTGAACCAATGTTGCCTGGCATGCAAGCATCCGTAGAAGTCCCCGCAGTGAAAGCCAGAGCGCTCAACCGGGCCCCGGAATTCTTAACAACGAGGGCTGGGGCGACGAAGCGTGGGATCTAGAGTAAACTTACTAGATAGTTACCGTAATCCTAGGCTCTCCACACCAGAGACAGTCAACGTAGGTGCTCTCTGAAGCCCTGGGTGTGTTTTCTGGAATTCTCACGGACATAACAGATCAACTAATCACTGTCAATGATGATGACAAGAATAAGAATTTGCATGAAGACACGTGGTGGTACAAATTCCTACTACCATGTTTCTATTTCCACCGCCTGCACAGCATGCCAGGGAATTGATAAATACACGCCTCAAAAAAATTCACAATTCTAAAATCAAACATAGCGTATACACAACCGTACACCCAAAATAACTAGCATTCTAATAGGTGGTACATCAACAGATACCAGCTCAGCGTTCTGATTCAACTGTTTTCTCTTTTTTGCCCACATCCTTGGCACCCAATCAACAGGGAGAAGTAGTTGGTGCTTCAGTTTTTTTTGTCAACTGACAACCAACCTCACAGGCCCTGGAGGGTGTAGTTAGGGTATTCAATTCTTCAGTTTTAGAAATCTGTGACCTGGTGCCATTGTGAACCTCTTCCACAATATCAAATCTGCCTGTCAAATATTTCTCTTCTCCCTTGCTTTCACCATGGATCCTTTCATCTCCCATCTCACTGATCTCTAGTTAATGTATTGACTTTTGCTTCTTGAATCACCAAGATTTTTCCAGAGTACATCTTGACCTTGCTCTGCACAAGAAGCTTATCAAAGTCTGGAACATTGCTGAAATCATCTAAATTTTGGTTTTGATGAAATAGACTCTCATCTGTTCCAAAAGTAATGTCAAGCCTCTTCTCTATACACTACAGAAACTACTGTTCATCTGTAGGGATTGTTGAATACACTTCACATGCAATGGCCAAGGTATTGAATACAGATACCTCACTGTCAAGCCTTCCAATATTATTCTTTGCATGCAGTTCCAACCCTTCCAACCATAGTGTCATGCAGTGAAGTATGTAAGAACACTTCTGTTGTATCCTAGTGTCTGTGTAGGACAAGAATACTGTTGGGTTTTAAGTGTCTAATAACAACCAGTGTACAGATAACTAATGGACCAGCATGTGGCCAACATCTTCATCAACATCAGGAAGTTTAAAGTTTGGGAGATCCCCTGGCTGGCTCTACTCTTCAGCATTATCAAAGTCCATTTTTCTAAAGTTTAAATGATTCAATATGGATTTCTTTTTGCATGTCAATCACCAAAGGCATGGCAGAAAATTCTGGATGATGCTGATGGAGATGAGGATAGCCGCGCCAGCCCTATTGTATGTCGAATGGGATAAGATGTGCGTGAGAAAGCGGCCAATTATACCAAAACACGCCGTGAGCAAAACATACATCCACAATCATTTTCAAGGTGTCCTTGCTTAGGTCCGAGAAGCTTTTGGTTTGATGGCTGGACATATTCCTCCCGATTTTCGAGTTGGCACGTCTGAAACCAACAGATAGGGCATGGAATGATTGGTTCTCAGCAGGCCTTCTTATTCGAGCATCATGCAGGATGATAAGCAGCACTATCTCCGCAAGAGAATAGTGGATATGACTGCATCGACAGGACTGGTACAAATGACGGCGGTCCCGAAGAGCAAACCGAAAGCGGCCAAAGATAATTCGGCAGCAGCCTCCCCCTGCTGACCATCACCGCAAGCAGAGGAGTTATCCCCCCTTTCCGCGAGGCGGGCAAGGTAAAACTCCACCGGCTGCCAACTGACCGTGGAAGAGTGGCAACGAAGAACCGGGTAGACCAAGGAAGGCACTGTTAGAGAAACAGATGATCTGACTGATTGATACTCCGTACTTTGTTAACAATAGCATGGCTTCCATATACAAATCTCTGTGATCCACAGGCCGTCCAGTAGCCCTCCAACCTCCCGCCAGCTCACTCGTGGTTGAAATTTGCTTAAGTCTACATCAATGAGTGCGGAAGTTTTGTTGCTCCTGTCCTACCACCGCGCTCAACAGTCACAAGAACCGATTCCTGCTATGCGAGGTGGAGAGCCGGTGGACCTGGCGCCGAGGTGAGGTCCGCCTGACAATCTCAATGTCCAGGCAACGGCCGAAGAGATCAAAAACCCAATTAAAGTACTAACAGAGACTAATAAAGCGAATAACACAAGAATTGGGTATAGTTAATTCGCAGCGTATGCGTACGAATGTGAAAAGCATCGTCCCATACGCATTGTCTTCAGTTTGGAAGCTTGGGAGACTTGTTGCTCGCGTCCCGAGGGGTCTCAGTGGGCTTCCTTCAAGGTGAGCGGCACGGACCGGAAATCTAAGCCTGGGTCATGGAGGAAGAACATAAAAATTAGGCGTGGGAGTGCTCAACGTTGGAAGCTAACCCGTTCCACACAAGCCCACATTAGGTCAGGCCTTTCATCGGAATGCATGGTAATAGCGAGAGGGGAAAGCCACCTGTATATGCATCCTGTTGATGCATTGCCCCGCTCCTTGACGGTGCATTGTTAGATTTGAACTTGACAGCCTTGGACAGTCGCTCGCGAAATTGCTGTCGAGCAGTGAGGATAATATGCTGTCCAATTAATTAATTGTCTCTGGCTATGGCTGGTTCCAATGAGACAGCACTTATCTGTCGCTATGGACGGCAAACGCCAACTCCCTTCTCATCTCAGAAAGCCTTCTCATCTCAGAAATGGGTGTATAAATACACTTCAGTCAATGCTCCTCTGCAATCCATTGCTCAGTTAGTCTTATTAATTAGTATATCCATTGCTTTATCAATCGCGTCTCTCAACCACGATTGTTTCTATTCCGTCCAGCCTATCTGCAGCATTGACAATTCCTATTGGCATCATAAAAGCGGCTGCACATTACAACATCTCGAGTGCCTCCCAAAAAAAAAAAAAAAAAAAAAAAAAAAAAAAGCCAAAACCACTGGGTGGTGTATCTCCCCACCCACAAATCACGTCAAGTTGCCTCGATTTAAGCCCTACTGGACCTGGAGCTGCGCCTGCATGCCTCGTTGTCAGGCGCCTCGACTACACAATCTCAACTCACGTCGTCAAAACGTGCAGTACCACAGTTCTGCCTCGGAACGACTGCTCAAACGATACTGGAGGCCATCAAATCAGCGAATTATGACCGATATAAGTTCGCAGAGGGGGGGCCAAGGGTGTCGCTTTTGGCTGGATAAGGTGGCGGCATTGATGCAAGAAAATCGAATAACCGACAGCGAAAGTGAAACGCAAGCAGCCCGTAGCGCTCTTCAGCAAGTTTGCTATTCTGAAAGCCAGCTCTTTCCGGCAGCTCAGATTACTGGAATGACCCCAGGAGCCTCCCATTAATGTTTTTTTTTTGGGAGGTCGTGCACCAGATCTCTATGTTAGCAAATGCAACAGATTCTATTCCCATAACTATAATCTATCACATTTTTTTTCAATTTTCGTCCGGCATATGCCTAGTTGCCTTTGACCACGCTGCTGTTGTCAAAGCAAAACTAACTACCAGTAGATCCCGAGCTTCCTCCAGGTGATTGTCAATACGTTTCAATAGCCCTTGCGTGAATTCGGGGTTCCCAGTCCTCAGGAGTATAGCTGTTTGAAAATAGACAGGGTAACCTCACGAGTGGGCCCAGTCAAGCAGCCAAATCATTCCCTCATCACCATCAAAGATTATGTTCCGTGCAGCAACGTCCACATGGCACGTTACAAGCTTGTGGAATTTGCCAGAGAATCAAGGGTGACTGTATGGAACACGATTGAATTCCTTGCACACAAGGAGGCGCTCATTGAACCACGACTCCATCTGCTGTGCCGGCGCCGTAATCAGTGAAGAGTGGGTCGAGTGAAAAACCCCACTGCCAACGAGGCCAGGTTTCTCCATCTTGATGGCATGAAGTTGGCGAAGAAATTCCGCAAGCTGTGCATGAATAGAGTCTCGAGCATGGTCACTGAGGGTCGGCCAAAATGCTGGAAACAGGATTAGTTACCACTTGTACTCTTCATTAGGAGATAGATAGCCGACACACGGGCCCTTCGCCACTGCAAAATTTTGGCTGCTCTTCCCATGCATCGTAAATGGCAGGTACGCGTATCCTTGACCTGGCTCGAACAAAATTTCATATTTTGAGCCTCTGCTAGGGAGACTCCGGTTCCACGCTTCAGCACAGCAGACTCATGAATTCGAACCAGAGTTGCACCCATCCTGTTCGTAGACAACCGGGGCATCATTAATAGCATCCACTGGTTGATTTCGGGGAATTTTCACGGAGCTTGCACCCGGCCAAGGGAAAAGGAAAAAACCATTAACGCCCGCAATAGTTGATGTCTATCGCAAGATCAGAGGAAGCTGTTTTATCCCGCTGTTAGTTTCAACATTGATAGTAGGCAGAAAACCGAAAAGCGGGGAAAGCATTCTGGCACAGTAGAAACAATCCGAACAGCCCGGAGAAATGGAAAGGGGGGTGGACTCATTAATAACTGGGCGCGGGCCAGGGGGGAATGGGATGAAAAACGAAGAAATCGAGAACGAGGAGTTCTATTATATATAGCCCTCCTGGTGCAGACACGACACATGACATTATGCCCAAGTGAGCTAGCTTAACTAACTATAGTTAGTTACGTTGTGTTGGTGAAGGAGAGATGTCTCGTGATCTGATTGTTAGTAGGATTCCGTTAACTAGACCAATTCATAGAGGAGCTCCAATAACCTGAAGCAAGCTCTTTATTCGGAAACGTCTGCTAAGTACAAAGTATATACACACTATTGATCACTGCTTAATATGTTCGAAGAAGGTTGGAAAGGGGGAGGGAAAACGGGCAAAGCTTTAGTAACTAACTACTGTATCAGCTGGCTCAAAACGATCGGTTCTACTTCACACCGAGTGCTGCGCGAACACATGCTTCCTCACCAATCGCATGCTTCATGGAGTTTCTATCGTCGTAGTGGAATCACTGCCATATCTATCCACTATCATCGTCGTCATCTTTGTTATCGGCGTTATCTCCGTCGCTGGTGTCACTGTCGCAACCTACTCTGTTGTTCAGGGCTCCGGATTGGTGCTCTCTGAGTCTGCACTTCCATAACCAGAGCATTCAAAATCATCATCAGGGTCATAACCGGAAAAGCAGCTCATATTCACATCAGAAATATCATTTATATCACGTGATAATATCACCTTAAACAGCGAGACATCTGATGGCCCCTTACTTTTGCTCGGTTTGAAACAATGGGATCTCCATCTTCATCTGAAAGAAACCGCTTCCGTTTGCCCAGCACTTTCACCATACAGTTCTTACGACCCTGGGTTGGAGAAGTTTGACTGACAGGAGATGAGCTTCTCAAAACTTTAAAAGTCCTTTTAACTGCTGCATTGTCCTTCCTCCCTGAGTGTCAAAAAAGTGACACCAGCCTGGAGCCAGAGATAAAAGGTATGGGAATACCAGCTGCGAAATAGACTCACTGCTTCTCATCAGCATAAATCTTCGTATATCACTCCCAGGAGAACCGGAGGAGGGTGATATACATCATCTTTGGTGCCTGATGGTGTGCGAAGGCCCCATCGCTTGATCACCCTCTGCTTGTACTGTTGACCATCATACTTAGCAGCTCTACTCAGATTTGTAATAGGGATGGAGCATTACTACACTCAAGCAGATTCACACTGTCTGCTCATTCAACTTGTTGTTGCTTTTCTCACAGTAGAGGGGCTTGAGGACTCACCAACAGTTACTCAAAAGCTGATGCGGCTCTTACGCCCCCTTTTTGGGTTCTTTCAAGATGATCAAAAATACAATTTGACGTCGGTGGATGTCAGGTTCGCGAGGAATTCATCTTGCATGATTGTATAGACCTTTCAAAAAGTTTCTTCCTGCCACTAAATACACTAAAAACGCCACCAAACTTAATGTAGAATATACACCCATTTTATCCATGGCCCTCTTTATATTCATTGCCTTCTTCTAGCTCTATAATCTTTTAAATATGAATAGGGATCTGCTCAATCCATGTCTGTATTGCCTCCTGAGACAGATTTTTCCAGCACTGCTTCCATATCTTAATAGCTTCTACCTGACTCTTTTGGTGGCCTCTTACAGGTAGTTATTCACTTCATCCATGGCCAGCAGGGTTCAATTTGGTTAAGATCAGAGGAATTACCATACCAAAGCATTCAACAAACATTGTATATATTATAAATTCAGTGTTAAATATAATGGTCATGAAAAGAAGCTTTATCCTCTTTGAACAATTATACTTGGATATTCTTTTCACACTTTTTAACAAAGAGAAAAAGGTTCAAAATAAGGATTTTGATTTGATATCAATATCAATCTATATTATCACCACTACCACAGGAAAGATTGCCTGTTTTCTATTTTTATTTTCATGTAGATTTTATGCTGTGTAATTGATGAAGATTAAATCATCTCATCTCATTCTCTATTTCTCATTTCTCTTTCATAACCAATTTCAATTCCTAATTTAAAACATCAATAATCTTTAAAAATTCAATCTTTTCTGAAGCAGTCTCAGAAAGCCAGCAATGACAAAGCTCTTTCTTATTATAAAAAAAATACCTTTAAAATATAAACTTAGAAGAGCTTTTCCACTGTTCTCAAATACAGCTTTGTATAAAGACGTTTTCTTTGATTCACCATATTTAACATCCATCACATCAATGAAAAAGGATAATAAAAGTTTTATTAAATTAAATAACCAATTTCCAATCTTCAAAAGTTTAATATTTATATTCAAGATAGAATTAAAGCTGCTGCTGCTGCCTCATTTTCTTAATTAATCCAGGTTTTTGTGTTGACTTTGTCTTCTGAAATCCAGCAGTCCTCAGAATTCTCCATATTATAATGGCAGAAATGCTGAATCCTTTCAGAATGAGTTATATCAAAGTGTATGATTTTTCATATATTAATGATTAGCAAGATTCTGCGGAATTAAGGTTTCATGGCGTTATATGGCGCCTTGGCAGGAAGAAACTTTTGAAAGGGACCTCCGTAAGGTATCCATCAATAGTGGGGTGTAGTGGGGTGGAGTGGGGTGGAGTGGGGTGGGTGGGGGAATTCAGGAAATGGTGCAACGTTGCGGTGAGCGTCGGTGAAGGTAGGTTAACTTGAAACAGCCTGAGCCAGGGTTAAGTCATAAATAAGCTCCTGTAAATGTTTAGGTCCCCCGAGTGGGCTCGGAGGCCCGTGCGCAGCGGTGTCGAGGTGGACGCCAAAAGCCCTGGAAAGTCAGTCGCACGCTATAAATAGTTGCAGTTTTGGAAGGCTCAGGGTTTGTGTCTGACGTATCTCAACCTTTGCAACCTATTATATTAGCAGGCGTTTGTCAGAAAGTTTAATCAACGAATTGATACAAACAAAAAAGCATTTGCTATGTGTGGTTCCTAATAGCGACACTTGACAGAGTATGTAAGTTTCAAAGATTAATGCAACATTCAAGGCATATTCGCTCATCTTACTTAGACGGTTGACGTTTTTGAGCTGCATGGAAAAGTGCCGTGAAAGCCAGAGATACTTATTGGTCCTGTTGGGAAATAAAGGCATCAAATGGCATGATGAGCTAGCTGCGACAGCTTCAGGAGCCCGCATAGATATTTAGGATATAGGCGACATGCGATGTTTGGTTGATTCTGCCGGATGTAGTAGTCTCGAAGTCCGGGTATTAATATGTTTGTGGGTCTAGTGGTCAGGGGGTTATATTATATGAAGGTATATCGTCCACGAACTCCTGTTGAAGGTGTGGGTTGGTTTAAAGAGCACCTCGGCTTCTCGGAATAAAGCCAGAGTTGTTTAGACGGAGTGCCTTTTCTCTGCCTGTGACGGATGAAGCCCCACACTCTGATAGCCATTTCGTAAGTTGGAGGAGTCTCGAAAAATGGTCCTTGCGGTGTACATTTCCTCCTTCCCTCCCTAGTTACCTCTCTCGTTTGGTACAAAAAGACCCCAAAGCCCAGGCGTAAACTATCTTGAAATTGGATGTCTCCGTCTCGACGCACAATGGCTGTATGGTTATATCAAATATCATCGGGGCGCCAGCTTCCCTGAAGAATAGTCGAGACGAGTTCGATGTTCCTCTTTGAGGATTGTTCCTCCATAGGCAAACATGTTCAATAGACCAAGTTGATACATATGGGGCTGTAATTGGGATTAGTTCATGATATGTTCCAACAACCTTTTGAATCACCGTATGATCCAACAGCGGCAGTGAACAAGGCATTCCCACCCATGTCGCAATGTTCAACTCTTCATATGAAGATTTCTCGGGAAACTTAAGCAAAACAACACAGAGCAAGAGCTAAATATATAGTTAACTATAGATAAAAGCGATACTCAGCAATTGAGAATAACATCATTTCCTGCTAGCCATTCACATCCAACTTGTCTAGAGCTACTAGGCCTTCAGGTTTGTTCTTTGTGAAGGACAGTGGAGTGATACGGATAAGAGAACCGCGCTGGAGTTTAGCTTTCCCCCCAGTGGATCGCTTCGCCGATATCTGCATGCGGACTAGCCCGCTGTAATGCTCTTTGCCGAGGTGCCGTCGCGAAGTGAAATAAAAAAGAACAGACTCCAAGGAGACATCAAGGTCCAGATGATCTGTTCGTACTCATAATTTTAACGGAGGTCGCTTGGAGTATATGTATACAGTCTTTTCTACCTCCTCCATATCTTGTGTGTCTTTCCATTCCATTTAACTGCCTATGTCAGTTGCTTAGTTAGTTAACTATCTGACTTGCCGTGCTGCGTTGGATCTTGACAAATCGCACGGCTCCACCATAACAAGCGCTATCACCTTTAAGCCTGTGTTCGGGCTTCCTGACTCCTTGAATAGGTAGATGCAACCCAACTGACCAGGAGGATGGCTGAAGAAAATGACATGATATTGCGCTGGTCAACAACCATTCGTTGCTCCCAGGATGAAAAGATGGATAGGACGGAGTATGCCCTTTACCCACAGGGTTACTCCTTATTTACCATGAGTAATGATACTCCATGCGCACAACATTTAAGTAAGTAGATTCATTTCAGTTTCTTCTGCTTGTGGATATGCTCGGCCAATGCGAACGCCTCCTTGTGGTTAAGCCGACTTCCCCGCCTATAATACCGAGTGGATTCGCCAGGCTAAACCCAACTAGTTAAGTCGCGGAGGCCCCGTGATCCAGCCCTACCCCGAGTTCGTTTGAAGAAGTTCCGTATTTCTTCGCTTCTACACGAAGCACATCTTTCAGATTCATTCCACCCTCTCCGCATTTCATTTGGACCTTCATTCCTGAAGAGTGGCGTGCGTTCGTTGGGCATTGGCACGTTCTTCTCATTTTAAACCATCTTTACAAGTGGGACCGTTGTCGCAACTTGCAACTTGCATGCATCTACGTTCCAGAAAACTCAATGCTTTCATCCAAGTAATCGGGAAAAGATAGATTCCTGGACAAACCATTGATCAGCTCGTCGCTATCTCTGTATAAAGTTGTCAAATTTATTTATTCTCCTCCCGTTCGGACCTCTATTGAATGATTCGCAAGGATCAGTTGAACATGCGCCGCGGGGTCTAGTCTGATGGATGAACTTCATGACTGTTCAATCGACTGAACTGTTTCCTTCTCCCGCATAGACAATTAGAAGTTATTACTCGATTGCAGAGAACGACATTGCCGGGCTGTCTCTCCTACCTGCAAACGGTTTCCCTATTGAATAACGGAAGAAATGGTGGAAGACTATGTAAGGGGAATGTCGGTATAATCAAACATGAAAATATGTTTCAGCAAATATCTCCTTGTTTATTCAGCTCTACCTCATAGTAATGGTGTCGCATTTCATCCATGCTAAGCCTGACATTGTCGTCGCGCTCAAACTCTTCAACCTTCCGCCGATTGGAATCAAAGGACCCTACTCTTGGATTGAACCGCTCTTCTTTGAACTGCATTGTTAGAAGCCATCACATAGAACACAGCTCAATGATCGCTACTATCGTTCATTCTCAACGAATATCTATTTTGCGCAATGTCACCTTCTAAACCCGCTCTACCAGCATCCAACTCCTATTCCTCATTTCGCAATGTCTCGGCTTGCA